GCCCAAAAACCGTCCCGGCCCCCCCCCCCCCCAGAATTTTTTTACGGATTTGGAACAATATAAAATAGGTCCATTTTGACTGGAAAAAAAAGCGCAATTCCGCCAAAAAGCGGAAAAATCTCATCCCTGATTGATTGATTTCCTCGCTTGATTTTTTTGTTTTGATGCATTATTTTCAATTTTCATAGTTTCATTGAAGTAATCGTTAATTTACGTTTTTTGGAGGCGGTCATGAATGCCTCTCGAGTAGAACGGAAGGAGCGTAGCTCCAACTCGTGGATGCATTGTAGATTGCGCTTTATAATCCAGTGCGTCCAAAATATATGAAAAAAATAATATGAAAAAAAATTAAAGATAGCCCATTCATTGAAGGTGCGCCTCATAATCCAGTGCACCTTTTAGTGCGGGAAAATACAGTAATATTTAACTACAAAGTTATTTTACTTTTTCTATGTTGATTAAGAGATCTCAAGCAGAAAATGACATGATGACGTGTGTCCTGAAACTGACTTGGATAGTTTCTTGTTGAAGGGAGCAAGAACTGCTGTTCTGACTCGGTCATTATTTAAGATCATCATTAAGATAATCAATAATAAAAGTAATAATAATAATCATAGTAGTAATAACATAAAAGTTAAGCTCCACATGAACTGCATGGTGTTAAGAGATGAATAGTTTCTCCTATGGCTACTTCACTGTACTGTTTTTCAGATACAGTTACATTAAGCATAAGTAATTTCGCAGCTTAGTTTTGAACGATAAGGTCCTTGCTTTCACACTTCGTTAAAAAAAATATTTATTGTATGTAAGATCAAATGCTGTAACAAATTAAGCATGAGGTTTTGAGCATATGTCAGCATGTGGTCTCGAACTTTTAAAATTTTTTTTTCAAAATCTTGGATGGACATATTTTGAAAAGTACAGTGTTATTAGACTTAATCAACACCAGGGAAGAAAATTTATAAGCAGGAAACGTCGCAGCATGGGGCAAACAATGGGGAAAAACAAAAGTTGTGGTCCCATCTTAGGATTCATTATATTGACTAGCACTAATGAAACGGAAATCTGATTCTCATGAAGATGAGGCAACTTAATCTCTGCCAACAATAGATGACATGTTTCAAAAAAAAAAAAAAAAAGTGGACTAACTCAGATGACAGGATGAACCTAATGGCAAATTAGTCTTAAAAGATGATAGTCACTGACAAGCAAACATTCATGATGATGTCGAATGTTGGCTTTAAGCACCTCATGGCTGGAGCAGAGCCACAACATGCACTGAAATGTGTTACCAAATTCTAGGTCTTGATTCAAACAAAGAATACTGGCTACTCTGTGTCCGTCCCCACAGACTGCAGCTCTGGTGTGACAAAGTCTTCTATGAGCCTGATATACCATTTGATCACTACTGAAGGGCCTAAAAAACAGGTCATCTTAAATATAAGAGCAATGCATGGGTCCCACACAGGAGAATACTTGAAAGAGACATTCCTCACTAGGCTTGAGGACTGGAAGAGAAGCAAAGATCATGTGAGACAGCTGAACAAATATTATCAAGGGTATGAGGTTTGATGAAGTCCTGGAGCTCAGAAACACAGCGTTCTCCTTTTTCACTTGACAGAGCAAAAAATTCAGTTCAGGGTATCATCATTTTTGTTGAAGCCCGTTTCATGAACACATCTTGGCCTCACTCATAGTTGGAGATCACAGCTTGAACTAGCCAACAGTACCACAGCATCTGCAAAATTCAGAGATGCAATAGTGAGTCCACCATACTGGACCCCGTCCATGCCTCGGCTGCTGCTCGAAATTCTGTCCATAAAGGTTATTAACAGAATTGGTGACAGTGGAGTTCAACCCTGACTGGCGTAGGAATCAGACTTAGTACCGGCAACGCGTACCAAACTGACATTGGTGGTACAGGGACCGTACAGCCCACATCAGGGGATTCAGTTCACCATACTCCTGAAGCACTCCCCACAGAACTCCCCAAGGGACACGGCTGCACCTTCTCCAAGCCCACAAAACACATGTATACTGGTTCAGGGAATTTTCATGAACCCTTTGATGACCCTGCTAGGGTTGTGGAGCTGGTCAGTGGTTCCACTGCCAGGACAAAACCCGCAGTGCTCCTCCTGGATCTGAGACTCAACTTCCCGATGGACTTTTCTCTCCAGCACCCCTGAACATACCTTCCTGGGGAGGCTGAGGAGTGTGATCCCTCTGTCGTCGGAACACATGCTCCGGTCCCCCTTCTTAAAAAGAGGCACCACCACTCTGGTTTGCCAATCCGAAAGCACTATCCTCCATGTCCACACAATGTTGCAAAGGCTTTTCAAACAGGACAGGACAGCCCCACAACATCAAGAGCTTTGAGGAGCTCCGTGTGGATCTCATCCGCCCCTGGGGCTTTGCCAGAGAGGAGTTGTTTTAACCAACTCCGTGACAACAACCCCAGAGATAGGAGAGCCCACAGACTCCTCCAAGGAAGGCCTGTCGCTGGAATTGTGGAGGTCTTCAAAGTATTCTGCCCAAAAACAACCCCGCAAGTCAAGGTCAGCAGCGCCCCTATCCCCACTATATATAGTGTTAATGGTGCACCAGATGATGGACCAGAATTTCCTCAAAACCGTCCGAAAGTCGGTTTCCATGGATTCGCCAAAACTCTTTCCACGCCGGAGTTTGTGCTTCGGGAAGCACCAAAGCTGCATTTTGCTTGGCCAGATGGTGCCCGTCAGTTGCCTCTGGGGTCCCACAGGCCAAAATGGCCAAATAGGACTTTTTCTTCAGCTTGATGGCATCCCTTACCTCCGGTGTCTACCGGCAGATTCAGGGGTTGCCGCCAAAACAGACGCCGACCATCTTATGGCCACAACTCTGTTTAGCCGCCTCAACAATAAAGGCATGGAACATCAATGTCCTGCGCCTCCCCTGGGATGTAGGCAAAGCTCTGCCGGAGGTGGGAATGAAATTCTTCCTGACAGGGGATTCTGCCAGACGCCCCCTGTAAACCCTCATTACATGTTTGGGTCTGCCAGGTTGGACTGGCATCTTCCCCTACCATTGGAGCCAACTCATCACCAGGTGGTGATCAGTTGACAGCTCTGCCCCTCTCTTCACCTGAGTGTCCAAAACATGCAGCTGCAAATCCATAATACGACCATAAAGTCAATCATCGAATGGCCAAGTTGCTTGTGCCTATGACAAAAGTTCAGAGTATTCAGAGTACCCACCCTCTTTAGAGTACTCGGGGTGCTTCTGCTGGGGAGACCATTGTTCTGCTGGGGGAAATCAATGCTCAGTTGGGCAATGACAGTGAGACATGGAAGAGCATAATGGGAAGGAACTCCCCCAACACGCTGGATTAGAACACAAATGGTGTATTTATATTGGACCTCTCTGCTCATCACAGATTGTCATTACCGAACACCATATGCAGACACGGGTGTACACCTGAGCAATTGGCAACAGCACACTTTAGACCATGATTTTGTGATCAATTTTGTGGTCTTTTAGTTGGACTTGCGGCCACATGTTCTGCACACTTGGATGAAGAAAGGGGCGGAGCTGTTAATCGAGCACCGCCTGGTGGTGTGTTGGCACCGATGCTGGGGGACCTGGCAGACCCAAAAATGTATTCTGAGGGTTTCCTGGGAACAATTATCACAGTACCCTGTTAGACAGAGATTCAACTAAAGTTCAACTTGGACAGAGATTATATTTATTCTACAAACATATTTCTAATGCTATATTTTAAATTGCACTTATATTGAACTGTGTACAGTTCTTTTCTGAAACACTTATTTTGTGCAATGTAACACTTTGCCCCCCCCCAATTTTGCTGCTGTAGACTGCAAATTTCCCCAGTGTGGGACAAATAAAGGTTATCTTATCTTCACTCCAACTTGTAGTAGAACTTTGCCCACATCTCGGGACAGCTCTGAGTCTGAGTGGACCAATCTTTGTTCCTCCATTGTTGAGGAGTGGTGCCTTCAGTGGTGGCAACACTCGAATCTGTTGGTGTACACCAGCTGTGAAGCTGAAGACAGAGTCCTATCAGACCTTTTTGGGACTCCTGAGGCAGCTGATGGATACCAGCTGGCCAAGCAGAACACAGCTTTAGTGGTTACTGTGACAAAAAGTCAGGCCTGGGAGGAGTTTGGTGAGGCCATGAAGAACGACTTCTTGATGCCTTTGAGGAAATTCGGGTCTATATTCCAGCATCTCAGAGGGGGAGCAATGCACCATCATCACTGTGTATAATGGGGAAAGGTCGTTGTTGACCCTGACTTGGGACGTTGTGAGTCGGTGGGGAGACACGCCTTCCCATGAGGAAGCACAGTCTGGGATCTCTGAGGCAGGTCCTCTTATCTGTGAAGTTGAGGTTTCCGAGGTGGTTAATAAGGTCCTCTGTGGCAGGGCTGCAGGGATGGGTGACATCCCTTCTGAGTTTCTAAATGTTTTGGAGTTTGTAGGCCTCTGCAAATGTGCATCGACATCGGGGACACTGTCTCTGGATTTGCAAACTGCAGTGGATGTTGACTGCAGGGTATGCTCCAGTGAAATATGGATCCCACTCCTCAGCCTCCCTGGTAATGTCTATTCAGGGGTCCTGGAGAAGAGGGTGTCGGGAAGATGAAGTAGGCTCGCTACATGTGTTTTATGGACATGGAGAATAAGTTGTACCGTGTCAGAGTTTGGTCTGCATTGCCAGCATAAAGTCAAATTTGTTTCCGGTGAGGGTTGGACGCTGCCAAGGATGGTCTTGGTCACAGATTCTGTTGATTATATTTATGGACAGAATTTCTAGGCTGAGCAGAGGTGGAGAGAGGGTTTGGTTGGTGACCTGAGCAGCGGCATGGTGGCCATTGGGAATTTAGAGAAAACTGGTACGTAAATAGAAAATTCCAGGTCGAAATGACCATGCACCAGCCAAGGGTTATAGAGAAACAGCATATGGTTGAATGAACTGTGTAAACCCATCCCTTCAGCCATCAACGTAATCCCTGGGTATTTGTTTTGAATATGTTATTTTTGTAGATGATATGCTTATGTTGGCATCATCAAGCCGTGATCTCCAATTCTCACTGGAGAAGTTCGTAGTCCAGTGTTAAGTAGTTATGAATCAAACCAATACCTCCAAGGATGAGAAAGTGGCGCTTAGTTAGAAAAAGGTGGAGTGCCCTCCCCAGGTAAGGGATGAGACCTTGCCCGAAGTGGAAAAGTTCAAGTATCTTGGGGTTTTGTTCACGAGTGAGGGAAGAATGGAACATGAGCTCACCAATGATCACTAACTGTGGTCGTGACGGAAAGGACAAGACCCCATATACAAGCAGCTGAAATTAGTTATCTCCGCAGGATGTATGGGCTCTCCATAACTCCATTATAATTCTACATCATCAATAACTAACATTGTATAGTATCAAAATTTGTAAAATATTGCCCACACATTATCCATTGCAACCTGGTCATCCTGGAAGGGGCATTCTCCCATCTGTGTTTCTTATTTTTCCACAAAATTATTTTTTTTTAGTTTTGCCGTGCCCTCCTGTGGGGGAGATTGTTAATATTGTGGGCATGTGATGCTCTTCAAGACTATTTTGCTATTAAGGGCAATATAATTAAATTTGACGAAGTGAGAAGCTTCGTCATCCAGGATGTGCTCTGAGTACAGACGCTGCTGTTCTGCACCCAGAGGAAACAGGTGAGATGGCTCAGAAATATGGTTAGGATGTCTCTTGGACGCCTGCCTAGTGAGGTCTTTCTGGCGGATTCCCTTTCGGGGGACGATCTGGATAGACTGTCTCTCTGGTGGCCTGGGATCGTCTCAGGATTTCCCCAGAAGAACTAGATGAAATAGCTGTGAAGAAGATTGTCTGGGGTTCCCTGCTAAAGATACTGCCTCTGTGACCCAATCCCAGATATATATGCAGAAGAAAATATAATGGATGGATGAACGGACATAAGATTAAAAAAAAAAAAAAAGTGTACAATTCAATATACCTCCTGGAATAATGTTTGACATTTTTTACTTTAATGGGATTAAGAAATAATGTAACCCGTAAAACACACCAGTTTGTTAAGTTCCATCTGCAGGTCCTCTTTTTCAATATAAATTCCTCGATATGCGGTGAAGGCCTTGTTGACATATTGAGGACCCTGTGAAGCCTCAGGCCGGAAGAGCTAGAAGAATGACACAAGGGTGCACAAAAATAGGCTGATAAGTATGTACAGATATCATCTTCCACCACATCATATGTATATTAAAACAGATGGAAACCAAAGCAGATATGACATTAAACAGAAACGATGCCATGAAGTTACTTTAACTCGGGTTGCGAAAATTTCGGGAGTATTTGAAGTTGTAAGTTTTCCACTAAATTATTGGGAATTTAGTCGAGTTAATGAGAATTTATGGGAATTCACGGGGATAAACTGAGGAATTTACTTCATGGATAACTCAATTCCAGTTTATCATCATCCTGCCTGAAACAATCAGATTTCATGTAACTAAAGTTGAATATGAAGGGCAAAAATGCAGGGGGTAGGCAATTCCCATGGGTTCACCACCTGTGGGAGGAGCCAAGGGGGTCAGGTGCAGTGTGAGCTGGGTGGCGGCCAAAAGTAGGAACCTTGGCTGTCCGATCCCCGACTACAGAAGTTGGCTTTCGGGATGTGGAATGTCAGCACTCTGGCAGGGAAGGAGCCTGAGCATGTGTAAGAAGACCAGAAATTCCAACGCGATATCATCGGACTTGCCTCCACACACACCTTGGGTTTTGGTATCAGTCCTCTCAAGAGATGTTCGACTATTTTCCACTCTGGAGTTGCCTACAGTGAAAGGTGTCGAGCAGGTGTGGGCATATATCTTGCCCCCCTGGCTTGGAGCCGGTCAACTGGGGTTCATGCCGATGGGACAAAAGGGTAGCCCTCTCTCCATCTTCGGGTGGGGCATGAATCCTGTCTGTTGTTTGTGCCTATGCACCAAACAAAAGTTCAGAGTTCCCACCCTTTTCTTGTGTCCTTGGAATGAGTGCTGGAAAGCCTTAAATGAAGAAAAATAAATAAATGTGGTTGCCCCGAGTGGCGGCTGAGTGCAAAATTTATTAGCTATACCATTTTAGGGGGGAGCTGGAAAACTTCCTTGTATTTTTGTTTTAGATTTTCCCATTTTTGGAGGCTTGTTGTCTCCCATCCCTTCCCCTCTGTCCCAATTTCCTTTAAAAATAAAAACTACCACAAATGTCTCACATTATTTAAAACAACAACACTCAAGAGCACACATGTAAGAGTAAAGATTTGCATGTTACACTGCCACGTTTTCTTAGACTAGTGCGGGGGTCGGCAACCTGCAGCTCCGGAGCCGCATGCGGCTCTTTAGCGCCGCCCTAGCTCCCTGGAGCTTTTTCAAAAATGTGTGAAAATGGAAAAAGATGGGAGAGGGAAATATATTTTAATATGGTTTCTGTTGGAGGACAACCATAACACAAACATTCTCAACACTTTCCAATGCTGTAAAAATGTGTAGAATAAATATATTACAACATTTCTGTCAACGAAGATTTGAGTCACAGCCTGCGACACATATTTCTCTGAGCAGGGTGGGGTACCAGACAGGTGGCTGTTATTTTTAAAAAACGGCGTTTCATATACAATTCACCGAGGGTACTGGCAGAGAATGGGAATCTGGAGGGCAGATACGAGCATTTTTAAATGGTACACGTGAGCAACGATAGATAACACGCTGCTAAAGTGCGTACCATGCCTCGGCATACGTGTGTAAGTGTGTGCGTATGCGCGCGTGCTGTAACGGGTCGATCTCGGGAGGCTGGTTGATTGAAAAGTAGATCTTCGGTGAAAAAAGGTTGGGTACCCCTGCACTAGGCACCCCTGCACTACAGGACGCACTGCAGCGGGGGAAAAAAAAAAAAACATTCAATCATGAAGGCCCATTGCGTATTTGTATCCAACTTAGTCATTTTGATTGTAGGCTAATATATCTAATATAGCTCCATACAGCATGTGTTTCCTTCATGATAAGGCTTTTAATTTTTTGCGGCTCCAGAAATATTTGTTTTTTTGGTGGCGGCCCGGTAGTCCAGTGGTTAGCTCGTCAACTTCACAGTGCAGAGGTACCGGGTTCAATTCCAGCTCCGGCCTCCCTGTGTGGAGTTTGCATGTTCTCCGCGGGCCTGCGTGGGTTTTCTCTGGGTACTCCGGTTTCCTCCCACATTCCAAAAACATGCATGGCAGGCTAATTGACCACTCTAAATTGTCCCTAGGTGTGAGTGTGGGCGTGGATGGTTGTTCGTCTCTGTGTGCCCTGCGATTGGTTTGCGACCGATTCAGGGTGTCCCCTGCCTACTGCCCGAAGACAGCTGAGATAGGCTCCAGCACCCTCCGTGACCCTAGTGAGGACAAAGCGGTTCTGAAGATGAATGAATGAATGTTTTTTTTGGTCCAATATGGCTCTTTCAACATCTTGGGTTGCCGACCCCTGGACTAGTGTGACAACAGCCAATGGACATCACTAGTAATGACTGCATAACATGATTGATAAGACAACTCAACAATGAAAAACTTCCATCACAGAATTCAGAAGCAACAATACTACCTAGCCTCAAGTGTCTGGGTTGTTATTTTGCTCCGATAGCGTGTAAGCCAGATCGATAGTGAGCACTTACCAACAACTTAAAAAGACAGCTAATTGTACAAAAGTTGAATAATCTAATTAAGTGTCAGTATGAAATTCAATTCGTCACTAGTGTGGGTGCCGCTATTTGTGTCTGGCAACCAGCTCTATAGTGAGCGTTTACCAACAACTCAGAACATCAGGTATAGAACATCTAATCAAACCATGAATACCATTTTCCATTTCCTTTCACTGGCCTATGTTTTTGTTGACTGATGCCAAGAAGGCGGAATGTGTAGAACTCGGTCGTCTGGAGAGGTCAGGGTCTGTCTTCGTGTTGCAAGGTCGGTCCCAGGCCCCTTGTCTGTGACCCTACCCATAAAATTTAAAGGTGATTAGGACACTTATTGGTTCTTGTAAATGCACAACTCTAGGGATAAGGGACAAGATGAGACGTAAGAGTTTTATTGGGATTGGGCCTTAGTATCAGTCTGTCGTGGTGAAGAAGAAGCTGAGCCAATAGGCAAACATCTCACTTTACAGGTCAATCTACATTCCTACAATCCCCTATGGTCAGGAGCTGTGAGTCATGACCGAAAGAACAAGATATTGAATGCAAGCGGCCGAAATATGTTTCCTCCGCAGGGTGTCGGGACTTTTCTTAGCTATAGGGTGAGAAGTTCAGTCATCCTGGAGGAGCTCAGAGTGGAGCTGCTGCTCCTACACATTGAGAGGAGCCAGATGAGGTGGCTCGGGCATCTGATTAGGAAGCTTACTGGACGCCTTCCGAGTGAGGTGTTCTGAGCACATCCCAATGAGAGGAGGCCCCGGGGAAGACCGAGGACACGCCGCACAGACTATGTATCCTGGTTGGCATGAGAATGTGTTGGCATCCCCCCGGAAAGTTGGATGAATTGGCTGGGAAAAGGCAAGTCTCGGCTTCTCCACTAAGGCTGCTGCCCCTGCGACCTGACCCCGGATTAGCGGACATGGATGGATGGATGGATGAATGGATGGTAGAGGCTAGGCTTGAGAAGGTTGATGGAAGATTCTTTTTATTTGCATATTGAACGGGACTATTGAAGGGAGATGGACTCTTTCACTTCAGGTTTAGAGTGGGATTTTGTGAGTCTTGTTAGATGGGGTAAATGCATTTTTTATTTTATTGAATTTTTTTACATTTTTTGAATAGGTTGGGTCAGGTAGTTAATTAAAACGATCAAATTCAACTTGAATTTCAAATCTTTTGAATTTCATGCTTTTTAATTGATACTTTGAATGTATGACTTCTGATGACAAAACAAAATATTTATACTTCTTACAGTGATCCCTCACTTATCGCGGTTCATGGAGACCAGGACCCTGCTGCGCGAAGTGAAAAACCGCGAAGGAGGGTTGGCTCCCCTCTAGAAATTTATGTGGAAGTGTATGCGGGTAACTGCATGTTTAAAATATGTAAACAGTGATTATACATTTCATATTTGGGACAAAGACTACAACAGAACACATATTTACTTAAATCTAATTATAAAACCTCATACAGTAATTAATATTCATCAGCATTGCCTTCGAAGTGAGGCTAAGAGACTTGTGTTCGTGAAGCTGCTCTCACTTTTTGCTCTGACGGTGTCGCCACCGTTAGCCTCCAGCTAGCTCCTGGCCAGCAGCCGATGTGTTTATGACAACACAATTATTCGGTATTGATGAGGAGGAAGCGTTCAAGCCCAACCCCCCCCTCTCTCTCTCTCTCTCTCTCTCTCTCTCTCTCTCTCTCTCTCTCTCTCTCTCCCTCTCTCTCTCTCTCTCATAGTCACTCCCCCCCACCCCCGCAGCAAACATGACAGAAGAAAGTGAGTGAGCGAACGAGAGTTAGCGTGACGAGACACACCGATCAGAGAATCAACAGCGTGACGAGCTCACAAGGGAAGGTGCTGGGCGGGGCTGCGAAGATGCGCAGCCAATCAGCTCATGGGATAAATCCACTCATGCTGTCATCGGCTGACATTGCGCCGGGAAGCACTCATGCATACAGGCCTGTACAAAACCTCTGAGTAATTTGGCATTTTTTTCTGAATACAGTGCTTTGGGAAAAAAAAAAAAACGCAATGTAGTGAAGCCGCGATAATTGAAGTGCGATATAGCGAGGGATCAATGTGTTTTCAAAATTTCAGTTTAACTCCCCATGAATTTAATCTGAACCTTTGCGGAAATTTACCAGAAATGATGCACCCCTTTGCAAACCTGACTTCAGCATCGCATCATATTCATACCTTATCCTCCAGCTGCTTAACTCGTTTCCTAAGGAAAGTATTATCTCGCTCAGTCTCTCTCAGTCGCTTTTTGATGTCCTCATAGGCTGTGACGAGGGCAAAATGAGAAGCTACAGATTCATCGCCAGCACACACCGATACAGGGCTCTCTCCCACAGCAGTGTAGGCTGTCTCATGTTTGAGGATGCAGATGTCATCATCCACAGCCTGGTGTTCCATGGCTGCACAGGCCGACGATGAAGCAGATTGAAGGCCTGTGGGATTAGAATGCAGAGATTCCTTTTAAAATCGAGTTTTAACATTCAGGGACACCTTGTGATATTTCACTGTGCCTTTGTTTCATTTGCAGAAAACACTTTATCCACAGTTCTCTTGATTAAATAGTCCACAAAACCTCGAGAGACTTCTGTCAGCATCGACAAAGAGGACACTGATTTCTCTCAAAAGTGTGTGATGATCATCCCCCACTTTGGAGACTCAAATCCAGAGAGGCACGTGACATCCAGAAATCTTAGCCACAAGAACCACACGACAAAACAATTTTAAAATGTATCCTCAGGCATATGCAATTTTGAGAACTTTACGAGACATTGCACATGTTTTATGTTTGTTTCATGTCTCATTGCAGTCTTCGATCTAGATTCCAGACAACCAGAGGTGCTCAAACTTCTTGGACCAAAGATCTACTTTTCGATCAACCAATCTCCTGTGATCAACCCGTTACCACGCATGCGCTTATGCGCACGGACGTATAACAATTTTAAAATGTATCCTCAGGCATATGCAATTTTGAGAACTTTACGAGACATTGCACATGTTTTATGTTTGTTTCATGTCTCATTGCAGTCTTCGATCTAGATTCCAGACAACCAGAGGTGCTCAAACTTCTTGGACCAAAGATCTACTTTTCGATCAACCAATCTCCTGTGATCAACCCGTTACCACGCATGCGCTTATGCGCACGGACGTACACACACACACACACACACACACACACACACACACACACACACACACACACACACACACACAACGACGATATGCTATATGTCTTTTTTTTTT